GCGGGCGTCGACCACGCACGCCACGCTCGACGATCTGCTCGTCGGCCAGGCGCAGACGCTCAAGCAGCTGGCGGTCAAGTCGCTTGAACAGGCGGTGGCCGACTACCGGTGCAAGACGGCCACGGCGCGTGCTGCCGGCGTGGGCTTCACCGAAAAAGGGTTTCTGGCCGAGCTCAAGCAGGTGAATCCGGTGCTGTTGGCGGCGATGAACATTGCCATTTATGCTTTTGCCGAAGAGGGCATGGAGAGTTACTTTGAAGAGGCGGCCCGCATGCGCGCCCTCATCGACACGCTGCTCGGAGCGTTCCCGCCCGTGGATCTGGCCAAGCTCGTGTCGCACGAGCTGCTGGGCTTCCGCACGTACGTGTGGTCGGACGTGAGCACGGCGATTGCGTGTGGCACGCGGCCGCATCTGCAGCTGGCCAAGTCGACGTTTGCCACCGACGCCGAAGCGGTCGGGACGGCGGAGGGGCCGATCGAGCGCGAGCTGGACATGGCGTTTGGGCTGCAGGATGCGTCGCTGATTGCGCTCTCGGACATTGCGCGGCTGCGGTACGACTACGACGGGGGCGACTTTAGCAAGACGGCGCAGCGTGCGGCGGGGAGTGCGGTGCCGGCGTGGGTGCACGAACGCGCCCAGCGCATCCAGACGCGCGCCGAGAGCTGCCGGATCGAGACGAGCCTCACGACGGGATCGGCGATCTGTGCCATGATGACCAAGAGTGCGTGTGTGATTCTGATCCACACGCTCATCTACCGCGTGGGAGCGCTGCACCCCGTGGTGAGGAGTCTGCTGCGCGGCATGCTGGAGCTGTGGACGAGCGCGGGCGAACAGTACTGCCGCAGCGTAGGATGCAGCAACTTCAACCTGCCCATCTTTATCGCCGCGTCGGTGGCGGTGGACGAGGCGGACCGCAAGGTGTGCGAGCAGGCCATGCAGATCGTAGGTCACGAGGAGGCTGGGCCGGCACCGGGCAGAGAGTTGATCCGCGAGGTGTGGCGACGCACCGATATCACGGGTCTGCCGTGCTTCTGGACGGACCTGGTCGCCACGGGCGATTTCGCCGTCGCATTCTTCTGAGCTACACTCATCGTATTCTCAATACGCTGTACACTGTGATCTGCGGACATGGCGGTGGGGCGGGAGTTGGAGATCGGACATGACGTTGTGAACGGAGCTTGGCGTTGGACGAGGCGGCTGCATGGATTATCGCGGCGCAAGCTGTTCCGACGGTGCTTATCTTCCCCGCGTTTCTGCGGATGCGTTTGCAAGGCAATCTCGGACATGCGTGTCTGCTGAAGATAAGATGGCGTGCAGGGATCCCGTAGCTGGGTTTGTATGGCTGCCAAGGAAGCGAGTGATCCGAGGCATGGATCTCGTGATGGCGGTGCGTGTGGCTCGGCTTCGACGGGTTGCTTCGGTGGTATCGGTTCGGGAAATGCTTGCCCGATGCACCCGATGACGGCGATGGGAAACCCGGAATCTGTGCTTGGTCGGTCAAATCCGACGGCTTGGCTTCAACGCCCCGAGCAGCCGACTCTTCCGACTGGCCAACCGGCTAAAAAGTAGCAACAAAAGACCGAGCCAGGATTTCCCATTTCACGAAATTTGGCGAGAGGAGCGAGCGAGCGAGCGAGAGCGGTAGAGAGGCAGAGAGCGTTGAAGGACAGCGCCAAGAAGTTCGCTTCGACAGCCGCATCCATGCATGCATTTCGCATTGAATCTCGGCCAATCCACAAGAAAATACGGACCACAGACTTCCGAAGCCGCCGCCCGCCAAGCCAGCCTAAACCTCGCACAACGAAACTCGCCTTCCATACGCCCCGTCGTTGTCATGGTCCCACATCTATCTGTCGAGCATTGACAGTGCAAGCACCATCAACTCAAACAGCTGACACTCTGCATCACCTCTCTTTGAATGGAGCTCTGGGCAAAAGGAAGAATACTCGGGGCGAGCGGGGAGACCGGAGGAGGCGGGTCAACGGAGCGGCAGTGAAAAAGAAGGCCAGGATTTCAAACTCAACCATCGGCAGAGAGCGAGCCGAAGGCAACGATTTCCTGCCTTTTTTCCCTCCCTCGTCGCCCATCGCCGCACTTGAACGCTCGTTGCGCCTTTGCATGAAAAAGTTTCGCTTTCTTGGCAAAAATGCTCCGATTTTTTTTCTCGTTTGACAGCGGACTCTTTCGTCCTACCTTCTGCCCCGACCCATGTACGGAAGAAGGTCGTCCGAGCTCTCCCCATCGCAGTGCATCATTGGCTATCGCAGCTTCGCAAGGATAGCATGCAGGAACACAGCTGGCCACGCGCGTACAGCGCACACTGATACCGTGATCACGAACGCAGACACCGGATACTCGGTGGCACCAATCAGCGAAAGTCCAGGACAGACACGGTGAGAAAGGCGGGTCTGGCCTTCGAGATGCACCCCGCACTTGCACACGCCCTTTGTCGCCGACTCGCTTAGCAACCGACTGGCCTCCCAACTTTGTCCGTCGTGCAACCGGAGTGCGGCGTTTTGGGCGAGAAGGCTCGATGCAAAACCCGCTCGTTACATCCGAGTGGCAATCACAGTGAGGCTGTTGGATGCAGCGCAAGAGTGTGTAGCGTCCAAGGGGAACGCTGGTTGACCGGTCGTGTGCACGAGTGGCTCCGACTCGAACCGCAGGTTGGAAACCGCTTATCGTCCTCGATGAAATTCCCGCCACACAGAAAGAGCGCAAAAGGGCAAGGAGGGAGGCGAGAGGCAAGTGCGGATCCTGGGTGACAGCAAAGACAGCTTCCGCACTTTGTTGGTCCATCAGCGGCGCTGGATGCATGCAAGGTCAGTCGTGCCTCGAGCGTCGGAAGCTTGGCACCCATACTCGCCACTTGCCATGCACTCACGGTGTTCAGTGCTACGCCGCTCGCGCCGCCCCCCTTCCCCCGCCCTTCGCAACCTACGGGGCCTGGATCATGCACTGCATCTGCACCTCGTCCCTGATCCAGCTCCTGCCATTCGCAACACTCTCGTCCGCTCTTCGCATTGCCAGCCAATCGCACCTTGTCCACCGCTTGCTCTTCTGATAAGCCAAAATTCCCCCATGCGAGCACAACGTCCATGTGCCACCCGGTATCTCGAGCGCCTCAACGCTCTCAGCACCATTCGCATCGCGGATGAGACCATCTCTACCCAATCGCAGCTCCGCCTCTCCTCTCCGCTCCGTCCCTGCAGCTGCAGCCCTTCGCACTCGCACATCTCATTCGTCCTCACCAGCAAACTCGCTAAACCTGCATCAGCCCTCCGCACCGATCTTGGCACTTTTGCCTCTCTCGGACGGCGCCTCTCCGCACCCGCCCTGCTCCGGCTGTCCTATCCTATCTTGGCCCTCCTCCTTCGTGCTCAACCTCGGCCCCCTACCTATATTAATACCGCCTTGGTTTTCTCGTAGCCACTTTCTTCTCCCCCAAGCCTCATCCCCTCTTTTCTTCACTTCCTTCGAGGAGCCCGCTTCACCATGGCTGCACCCACCCCCACCTGGGGCCAGATGCACAACGAGACCAACGAGATCTCCGAGACGCACCTGCCCAACTACCAGCAGCAGCACGGCCTCAACACCTACTCGCCCGACGATGACGAGAAGAAGTCGCCCGTCTCCTCCCAGGAGGGTCTCGACTCCCAGCTGCCCGTGACCGGCTACTACGATGCCGAGAAGAAGGCCGTCGCTGGTGACGAGGACTACGTTCCCGAGGACCCCAGTGCCGGTCTCCAGTTCGACCTCAAGTACTTCCCCGAGGAGACCACGCAGCTCACCGTGCGTGCGCTCGTGGTGGGTACCGTGCTCGGATGCGTCATCGCCGCCTCCAACGTCTACCTCGGCCTCAAGACTGGTTTCACCTTTGGTGCCTCGCTCTTCGGCGCCATCCTCGGCTACTCGATCATCAAGATCATGCAGAAGGCGCTTCCCGAGAAGCTCGGCGGTGGATTCTTCGGTCCCAAGGAGAACTGCACCGTCCAGACCTCCGCCACCGCCGCCGGTTCGCTTACCGGCATGTTCGTCGCTGCCGTCCCCGCCATGTACCAGCTCGACCTGCTCCACGACCCGCTCAAGGACTTTGCGCGCCTCATCACCTTCTCGGCCGTCTCGGCGTACTACGGCGTGTTCTTCGCCATCCCCCTGCGCAAGTTCTACATCCTCAAGCAGAAGCTCATCTTCCCCTCGCCCACCGCCACCGCCTACACTGTGCGCTCGCTCCACGCCCCCGGCGGAGAGGTCAGCGCCAAGAAGCAGTCGCGCGCTCTGCTCTACTCGTTCCTCGGCGCCTTCGTCTTCGTCGTCGTCAACCAGTACGCTCCCGGTATCCTCATGGACTGGCACATCTTCTTCTGGCTCTACAAGTGGGGCTGGAAGAAGGCCATCGTCGTCGACAACTGGGGCTGGTGGATCGAGTGGACCCCCGCCTTCCTCGGCGCCGGTATGCTCTCGGGTATGAACGCATCCTACTCGTTCCTCGGCGGCTCCTTCCTCATGTGGGCCATGATCGGCCCTGCCATCATCGCTACGGGTCAGGCTACCGGTCGTCACTCGGGTCTTGCCGCCGACCCCCCTGAGCCGCTGCGATGGGGCTACACCTCGATGAGCTTCAACCCCAACAAGTCGCCGCTGCACGCCGCGTCGCCCAGGTACTGGGGTCTGTGGCCCGGTGTGCTCATGATGTTCGCCTACTCGTTCGCCGAGCTCGCCATGAACGGCCCTACTCTGTACCGCGGCATGCGCGCCGGTGCGATGGAGCTCTACTGCAAGGTCACCAAGAAGGACATTCCTATCTACGAAGATGCCATCCCTGACCCGGTCGAGAAGCAGGATCAGGTGCCCGTGTGGGCCTGGACGGGCGGTCTCGCTCTGTCGGTCGTCTTCACCTGCCTGGTGTGCACGCTCCAGTTCCACATGAACCTCGGCAACGTCATCCTCGCCATCATCCTCGCCTTCATCTTCTCCTTCGTCGGTGTCCAGGCTTCGGGCGCCACCGACACCAACCCCGTCGGTACCATCGCCAAGGCTTCGCAGCTCGTCGTTGGTGGTGCTCTGCGTGGCCAGGGCAAGACTGGTCCCCCAGGTCTGCTCGAGAACCTGATTGCCGGTTCGATCGCCTCGTCGGCTGCATCGCACTCGGTCGACATGGTCGGTGACCTCAAGACCGGTCACCTCCTCCGCGCCAAGCCTCGCAACCAGTTCTGGGCCCAGATCGTTGGTTCGTTCTTCTCGATCTTTGTCTCGACCGGTCTGTTTGTGCTTTTCACCAAGGCTTACCCATGCATCATCGACGCTGCTGCCGAGGAGTGCCCCTTCGCCGCCCCCTCCGTGGCTGCCTGGAAGGCCGTCGCTGTCGCCGTCATCTCGCCCAAGCTCCCCGTGAGCCTGTCGTCGGGTATGACCGCTATCGGCTTCTCCATCGTCGCCGTCGCCACTGTGGTCGCCAAGTACACCATCATCCCGCAAAAGTACCACGTGTACGTGCCCAACTGGAACGCTGTCGGTCTCGGCTTTGTCGTGCCCCAGACGTACTACCCGATTGCCATGTGCATGGGTGCCACCTCGGCGCTCTTCTGGAAGGCCAAGCGTCCCCAGTCGTTCGACCTGCTCGCCTTCGCCATTGCTGCCGGTCTTATCGCCGGTGAGGGCATGGCCGGTGTCTTCAACGCCATCCTCACCATCGTCAACGTCGACGGCAGCGTCTATGGCACCACCGTCGCCATTCCCCCCTGGTAGTGGTCTTTCATGTCATGGGCTCCTGAATCCAAGCATACCCTTGTTATCCTTCTTTTCTTTGTCTGCCGTGCATGCTTGGACTTGCTGAGCGAGCAGGATGTGGCGCAGAATGAGAGGCGACTCAGTATGGCGCCAGTCCGTTTGGGCTTGGCTCCGGCTTGCTCGTTAACAGCGGCATGCTAGCACACGGTCGACGCGCGCCCGGCTTCAAGCCCAGTCTGATACCAACGTTCACGCACTCGTCTCACGCACGCAGCATATCTGGGGGACAACGGACGAATCCTGGTTACAACTTTTGTGATGACTCAGCTGTGCACTGCGCTCTACTCTGCGTCGTCGGGGATGACGCTGACGATGGTGACGTTGCGCTCCTCGAATGCGAGCCAGGTCTGGGTTCCCACCAGGCTGTCGAGCGAGCCGGGGCTATCGACGCGCTCAAACACTGTTCGCGCCAAGCAAGTTAGCTTACAATCCACACTCGTACTTGTCGAGATTCTACTTACTGGTAAGCTGGTGGCCTTCGTCGGTGAGGAAGTGCCTCGGGCGGTGTTGAGTTCCGACGACAGGTGAGCGTTTGATGAGTTCGTTGCCGGTGTTGGTGCACGAACCGCCGCAGTACTGCAGGCCGGACGTGGAGGCAAAAGCGACATTGTACGCATCACCATCGGTGATCGAGTTGGCGGTGTAGAAGCTGCTGAGCGTTCCGCCCTGGCGCGAGTTCTCGGTAGACGGCACACAGCGCGTCACACTACCAGCGCCGCCCTCCTGCGACGAGGCGTAGGGGTACTCATCGCACGAGTTCGAGTCTGTGGGGTTGTTGGCACAGCGGTTGGGCGACTTGCACGCCGTGTTGGCGCGGTTGATCGAGGCGTTGGCAGAGTCCCGGTGCAGCGTAGTCGGCTTGCCCGCACACTGGATGGCGTAGCAGTCGTTGGAGCAGATGTTGGGCACACGTGTGCAGTCCCAGGTGAGTGTCGCGGCGTGTGCAGATGCCGCGCCCAGAAGCGCAACCCCAGCAAGGAAGAAGCCAGCGCGCATTGTGAAGGTGTCCTAGGAGAGGGTCGAAGGGGGAGAGAGGTGTGGCTTGGTGATGCTGCCATTGTTCGATCTGGCCGAGGGTGCCAGCTTATATCCCTCCCAAGCTCATGGGTTAGTGAGCATGAGACTCTGCAGCCGCACCAAGCGAGCCTCGATCTTCTCACTTGAGCCCCGCTGCCTGAGGACCGCAAAGGTGCACAACTAGCCACGTTGAGGCCCGTCATGCGCTGACCCGGCGGGATACCTACCTGCGCCGCGGCCATAAGCGACCCCACCCAACGTGCGCATCCCCACCGTCACAAGCCATCAAGGCCAAGCTCAAGCTCCACCGAGGTACGAAGACATCGGCGCTGCTTGCGGCTACCATCTTCCGGGCGCCCGAGAGCTTGTGGTATCGACGGCACTGCAGGTTGGGCTGATTAGCACCACACGTTTTGGCTTCGGCAAAAGGGTGCCTCAGGGTTCGGGTGGCTCGCTTGACACGGCGCTCGGCTAAGGGTCCAACGTGGACCCGTGCCAAGAAACCTTGCTCGTCCCTCTCTCGCTCCCCCACGCTGGCGCGGATGGGATGGAGGCAAGCGAAGGGAGCTAGTTGCTGCCTCGCATCCGGCACAACATGTTCCGAAGCCCTCCGTCCCAACACAGATAGACTCAAGCGGTGATAAAGCCCTCGCACCGTAGCCTCGGAACGCGCCTTGTTGCGGTGACAACGTGCGCAGCCGCCTGCAGAACGTCTTCTGACCCCGAGGTCAAGGTACCTCGAAAGGAGCACAGGATAGCATGGATGCTCGGAAGAGCTAAAGCATTCGGCTAGCGATCCAGCGCCGCAACGCCGTGCGCCTATCACTGTTCATGCTTCATGCTCGTTCTTCGTGCTGTTTGAAGCCGTGACCGCCGACTAGGGTCTAACACAATCTGCTCGAAAAACATCTGGTCCCAACGGCGCTTCTCCCTCAACGATGGAGCGTGCCTTTCGACAACGGTCACTTGGCGCCCAGTCTATTGCATATGTCTACAGGCTGTATTTTAGGGGGAAGCCACCAGGCGCACGAGTTACAGATCCGGATTGACGCGGAGCACCATCTTACCCTGATGACCAGGCTTGGCGTAATCGGCGCGCATCTTCTCCACATCCTCGAGCGGATAGGCGATGGTCTTGACCTGAATCTTGTGCTTTGCGACGAGCTCGCACATTTCGTGCGTGGTCTTGGGGTCTCCCAACAAGCTGCCCTTGACGGTGATATCGCGGAAGATGAAATGGTTGTAGTGGATGGGGATCGGCTCGTTTGGCTGGCCCACGACCATGAAGAGGCCGTGGTTCTTGGTGACCGCCAGACCGAACTCGTACGCCGGGATGACGTCGGTCGCCATAATAGTCGCATCAGCCCTTTGGCCACCGAGCTGCGTGTGCACCAGCTCGTTGACAGCCTTGTCGTCGTGGCCATCGACGTTGCCCGAGTTGACGGTTTTGTCCGGCGGGTAGGGAAGAGACTTGCACATCTCGAGCGGCGCATCTCTGGCGTCGAAGAGCCACACGTTGTATCCGAGGCACTTTGCGAACTGCACGCCGAGGTGGCCGAGTGCGCCCGCGCCGACGATGGCCAGCGTCTGGCCGCGCTCGAGGTTGCAGTTGGCGATGGCGGTGTAGATGGTCGCGCCGGCGCAGAAGAGCGGTGCGGCCGAGTCAAAGTCGAGCTGGTCGGGCAGCACGACGCACGATCGGTAGTCGGCACGCATGTATTCGGCAAATGCGCCGTCGGCGGTGACGCCAACCATGTCCTGGTCGGCGCAGTACTTGGGCGTGCCACGCTTGCACTCGGCGCACTTGCCACAGTAGTCGCGGAAGGTGATGCAGCCCACGCGGTCGCCGAGCTTCAGCGGCCCTCCTGAGCCATTGCCGCCTGCGGGATTCGAGGCGGCGTCGGTGCCGAGGCCGACCACGACACCCGTGGGCTCGTGCGAGGGGATGAGCGGGAGAGGGTTACGAGATTTGGAGGCGAACTCGCCGCGCGCCACCATCATCTCGGTGTGGCAGTAGCCTGCGGTGGCGATGCGGATGAGCACATCGTTGGGCCCGACCTCGGGAACGGGCACGTCGTCACGCAGCACGTAGGGAGGATCGGCGTTGAACTCTTCGATGCGCAGAGCGCGCATCACCTTGGGCACGTCCGATCCGATGTTGTTGGAACCTGTCATTGTGTCGAAGGCGGCTCAGAGGTGGTGATGAGAAGGACAGGAATGAGGAACAAGGTGCACACTTCGATACTGAATTCGGCACGACAAACAAGGTCCGGCAATGCACCCGTCGATGCTCGCCGTCGAGGCTCCGCTCCACCCCGCCCCTCGCCATGATGATGTCGTTTGACGTCGTTCGGCCTCCACATCCTCCATCCCATAAGATGGCCGGCGATGCGTAATTGCGCCGGCACGACATCGGGACAGCGATCTACTTCCGACCGCGATTCCGATGTGGATTCGCGTAAATTGCGCCGAGACGCGTTGAGTAGTTCGCGGCGCATTTCTCGCGCTTTGCCGCTGGAGAGACCAACACATATTCTTGTGCAACTGGTGGCTCAGCTCTACATTCGACACCACCATCTCCCTCTTCTCTCGTCGAAACACCCGATCAACATGCCCGCAGCCGTGGTGGTCCCGCCACCGGAACTGCGCAGGACCATCCTGCGCGTATTCACCACAAAACACTCGCTGCAGCTCCATTCGTCCGCCATCACGTTCATCGCCTCGACGCTCGCCGAACACGGCCTGCTCGACCAGCCGCTCGAGTGGGAGGAGGCCATCGATGCGCTCGCACAGGGCGTCGTCGACAACCAGGCGGACCTCGACCCGCACGCCCCTTCCGGCTCGCGCTCAGCCCTGCAGGCACGTGCCGCTGCACATGCTGCCGACGATGCAGATGCGGGCACGGATGTGGTGACCGCCGCCGCACTCGAGAAGGTCTACTCGCGCCTGGTCGTTGCGGACTCGGCAGCGCATACGCAGCCCTCCAGCATGTCGGCTGCTGCAGGCGGCGCGCATCGACACCCACACGAGCTTACCGACGGCGAGCTGCCCGACCCGCACCGCTACTTTGGCGTGCACTCGGCGTTGAGCCAGCCCAAGCTCGCCTTCGATCCCATTCGCAAGGTGTTTGAACCGGCCTCGGGGCCGTCCACTGTGCTCCCGATGGCATCGGCGCGCTCCGCGTTCCCGCGCCAGCGCTTCCACATCCTCAAGAGCGTCGTGCTGCGCAACGAGAACTTCTGCCCACCGCTCGCCATCCCCGCCGCAGGCTCGTCAGCGAAGGCCGAGGCCGACTCCTTCATGAAGCTCACCTCGACCAAGAACTTGCTCGGACGCCAAGGCCAGCGATTCCTGCTGTTTGGCATGCTCAGTACATCGTCCGATGGTAGGTACGAGCTCGAGGATGCCGACGGCTGTGTGGGGTTGGATCTCGAACATGCCATTGCGGGCGAGGGCATCTTTACCGAGGGCAGCTTCATCCTGGTCGAGGGCGAGTATACGGTTGAGGAGCGCATCCGCGTATTTGCCATCGGTCATCCGCCGAGCGAGACGCGCAAGCAGGCGAGGTCGATACATGCGCATACCGACTTCCTCGGTGCGCCACAGCCCCCGATCGTCGCACCTGCCTCGGCAGCCAGTAGGAGCGCTGCCGTGTCGTGGAGGGGCGCCATATCGGTCAAGGACGAGGCGGCATTTGCGGTGCACGAGGCGAACCACTCGGATCTGTGCTTCGCCATCTTTAGCGACGTGCATCTCGACCATGCCAAGACGCTCGTGGCGCTCGCGGCGGTGCTGCAGGGCTATGTGGACGCCGAGTTCATCCCGTTTGCGCTCGTGCTGTGCGGCAACTTTGCCAGCCACCAGGTGAGCTCCGACGACTTGGTCGAGCGATACCAGGCCGGGTTCGCTGCGCTTGCAGACACCCTCATCAGCTTCCCCGCCGTGCTGCGCAAGAGCCACATTGTGCTGGTGCCGGGACCGCAGGACCCGTTCCACACCTCGCTCGTGCCGCGTCCGCCGCTGCCGCAACTGCTCGTACAGCCGCTGCTCACCAGGCTCGCGCCGCTCGGCGCGACTGTGCATCTCGCCTCGAATCCGTGTCGCATCTCGTACTTCTCCCAGCACATTGTCGTGTACCGCGACGACACCATGACGCGCTTCCTGCGAAATACGGTCAAGATCAAGGACGACGAGTTGGACACCGACCAGCGCGAGCGCGAAGAGAGGGACCTCAAGAAGTTTCTTGTCTCGACAGTGTTGGATCAGGCCCATCTTGTGCCGCTCGCCCAGAGGACCAGGCCGGTCATGTGGGACCATGACCATGCTCTCAGCCTCTACCCCATGCCCACTGCCGTAAGTGCTCCCTCCAAACTCGCAGTCAAGAGGCTATTGCTGACATTTCTCATCCAACTTTGCACCACAGCTCGTGTTGGCAGACGCATACGATCGGTACGAGCTCACCTACGAGGGATGTCACGTGGTCAATCCGGGCTCGTTCCGCACCGGCAGCTCGTTTGCATGGTCAACGTACTATCCTGCTTCGCATCGATCCGAGCCGAGGTAAGTGCAGAGACATTACAAACACGACGAGGCAGGCAAAATGTACTCACACCCGTCACCTTTGCCTTCTGTTCCCATCAGCGAGTTGCCTTCGATATGATCACATCACCGTCCTTGTCTCGTTCTGCATAACTCACACTGCTTCTCAATCACAACACATCGTCGCAAAAAAAGGAGGGTAGGGGGCATAACTCAAATTGTCCATGATCAAGAGGGTGCATACGGTCGTGGGGGAATCCTGGAAAAGTCGGGTAGGGTGTCTAGCTGAGGCCAGCAGCGCTGGTGATGACGTTGAGGCGAGCGGGGGTCATGTGGGGGTATTCCCAGAACATGGCGCCAGCCTTCCAGCCGTTCTGGACGCCAACGTTGAGGCAGCCGCCAAGGACGCTAGGGCGCATGAAACCGTTGTCCGCATCGCCCTGCACAGCTGGCTTGCCGACGACGATCTTGTCGAGGGGTACGCCGGCGTACTTGTTGATCTCAAACACGCTCGTGAGCGGGAAGTTGTCGCCCGAGTTCCAGATGAGTTCGTCGCAGGTGTCGTAGTTCTGCTGGTTGTAGAACTGCACGTTGTACCAGTCGATCAGATTGCCCACCTGGGCATGGATCTTGGCGTAGCCTTCGGGGTACATCTGCGTGTTGAACCACGGCGCCACGGGGGCGTGCGTGATGATGTAGTCGGGACTAGGCAGTTCCGCACGCAGACTGCGAGTGAGCTCAATGAGCCAGTTGGCGGACTTGCCCTGCGCGAATAGGTCCATCTCTTCATAGTCGACGTCGACACCGTCCAGGCCGTTCTGCTTGACAAACGCCGCAATGGTCTTGCCGAGCTTGGTGGCGTTGCGTCCCATGCTCTGCGGCGTGTCCGTGGCGCCAAAGACGGACACCATGAGCTTCATGCCCGCACCGGCATAGCGCGACTTGAACCACTTCTTGTCCGCATCGCTCTTGGCCGCAAACTTGGCCGCATTGTCCGCCACACCAAACTTGACCGTCCAAAAGGCGAGGTTGAACACGTTGAAGCCTGTGATGTTCCAGTAGGGAGGGGCGCCGTAGCTCTGCGAAGCGACGTCCTGATCACCGTACAGGACGAAGCGCGGGGCGGCAATGCTGTCCGTGTCGGCGGTGGGGAAGCCCGAGTCGAGCATCTTGACGCCCGGAGCGGTCTTGATGATCTGCGCCGGGTTGTGCGACTGGCCGAACATCGAGGTGAGCGTCGACCATACGCCGTGCGAGACGCGTGCGGGGATGCTGTCGTCGTAAAACTCGGCCGCCGGACCTGCAAGGCCGTTGTAGCCGTTGTAGAGCGACTGCTGATGAGGCATGCCCGATGCCGAAGGGAGGTTGGCGATGGCAGCTGCTGCCGCAGCAACAGCCATCACAGGTGCAGTGGTTCCAACGCGCATTGTCGAACCGGTCGAAAGCTGGGGGAGAACACGAGTGGAAAGGAACGAAGATGAGCGGCGTAGAGCCTGGAGTCAGGAACAGGGGGAGGCAAGGGGCGTGGAAGGGGGAGTGGAGTGGAAGAGCAAGGCTCGATGAGGAGAGGAATCAGAACGAGTTACCTCAAAGGACGGGCTATATATGCTTTGCCACTCTTGCTCGGTTCGTCTGAAGCGAAGCGAGAATGCGGCGGCTAAGGTAGGGCATACAGCATAGAGCATATAGCATACTGCGGGTGTTCAACTGCGCGTTGGTGGGTGAGCGTCAACTTCTATCGGCAACTTGACTGCGTTGCGAGCAGCAAGCACCAACTCCACGGCGCAGCTTGACAGCCGCCGCCACAGGGGCGGACCACATGCACCGCTCGTAAGCGCCGCGGACCAAGCGGTAGAGTTCTTGCATGCTGTGCACCGATCGGCCACGTCGGCTAGATCGTCGTGCACCTGCGTGGCCTGCCGAGCTGTCGAGCATTCAGGCCGGGTGTGGAAGTTGAACACTCGCATCCCACGCTCCCCACGTCACACGCAGCATCCCCGCTCTTGCAGCAGTGCTTTAAATCTTCCGATCCTCCAAAGAGGCCCGCCGGTGCCAACTTCTACAGGGTCCAATCTCGTACCCACGCAACCTCGGACCTCGATCCCCTCCCACGCTCACACCTCCTCGGCAGGCAAATTGGCATGGGAGAATAAAAGCGCCACTCCCGACGGAGTCTGAAAAGAACAAGAAGAAGCCGTATCAATGCACCTGAGGCATGCCGTTCCAATCGACCTTGAATCAAGCCATGCTGCGGATGGGCATGTGAGAGAAAAAGCAGATACGCTTGCCGAGCCGAATGCGCATGGCAGCAGGTGGCGCTCTTTTCTTTCGGGGGGATTTTCTTTTTTCGGTACCTTTTCTTTTTTGGACTCTCTCTCGGCTGCCTGCTGGACCGCGTGGCGCCGTTGCATCGACACCTGCCAAATTGAGCGAATTTTCCAAAAATCGCCCCCTCGGTGCATGTTGAGCTACCTTCTCCCCACCACCCCGATGCACCCGATCCTCCCTCTCCCTCCAACCTGTCATGACTCTACGACACGAGGCTCAGCACAGCAACTCAAGAGTAGATCGGCAGAACGACTTTGGCTGCAAGTTACGTCTAGTGCGGCTATGACTAGTGCGGCTACGACTAGTGGCGCTGCTGCTGCTGACGGCCGTGCGCGGCACCATCAAAGAGGCCCTGGTGGCTCGCGTTGTAGCTCGCCGACAGCCCCACGGTGAGCGAAGCGTCGAGCGCGCTGGCGGCCGCGGCTAGCTGGGCGTCCGTCTGTGCAGCGGGCGCGCCGTACGAATGCGGTGTCGCCGTATCGTTCCGGTGCAGCGTGGGCGCTTGAGGCTGATGCGCGTTGCGATTCGAGCCATAGCCCGCCACCGTCCCGCTCG